GGTTTTAGACAAAGAAACTTTTATGCAGAGCAGCTTTTACACAGAAACGCTTACACACACAGAAGTTTTACAAATAGAATCTTGTACACACAGAAGCTCTTACAGACAGAAGCTTTTACACGGGAAAGCCTTTACACAGAGAAGCTCTTACACGCAGAAGTTTTTACACAAAAAAGCGTTTACGCAGAAACTTTTACGCACAGAAGCTTTTACACACAGACGCGTTTACACAGAAGTGTATACACACGGATGCGTTTACACACAGAAGCCTCCACGCACAGAAGCTTTTACGCAGAGTGGCTTTTACGCAGAGAAGTCTTTACACAGAGAAGTCTTGACACAGGCAAGCTTGCACACACAGAGGCTTTTACAGAGAGAAGTCTTTTACTCAGAGCAGTCTTTACACAGAGGAGCTTTTACACAGAGAAGTCCTTCTTACACAAAGGAGATTTACGCACAGAAACTTTTACACACTCACAGACGCGTTTACACACAAGAAGTTTTACACACAAGAAGTTTTACACACAGAAGTGTTTCAGGCGCACCGAAACTTTTACACAGAGCAGCTTTTGCACGGAGTAGCTTTTACACGGAAAAGCTTGTACACGCAGACGCTTTGACACAGAGAAGTCTTTACACAGGGGAGCTTTTACGCAGAGAAGCTTGTACACACAGAGGAGCTTTTACACACAGACGCTTTTACACAAAGAAACTTTTACGCAGAGCAGCTTTTACACACATAAAAGCTTTTACACAAGGCCACACTCTCGCAGGCTATGGGCAAAACGAGCGAAAATGAGAAGGGTCTCATGAGAAACACGCGGGCGAGCACCTCTAATTGTTCCGTAAGGGAATTGTACACCGGACCAACTACATTTCTGGCCAAAAGAGGAGCTTTACACAAAGCTTTTACACGCAGAAGCTTCTGCACAGGAGAGCCTTTACACAGAGAAGCTCTTACACACAGAAGCTTTTACACACACGAGTTTTTACACCAAAAAGCCTTTACACAGAAAATTTTACACAGGAACTTTGACTTTGACACACAGACGCGTTTACACAGAGGAGGAAAAACCTTTACACAGAGAAGTCTTGACACAGAGAGGCCTGTGCACACAGAGGCTTTTACAGAGAGAAGCCTTTATACAGAGAAGTCATGACACACAGGAGCTTTTACACAGAGAACTCCTTACACAGAGGAGATTTACACACAGAAGCTTTTACACAGAGACACGTTTACACTTACACACAGAAGGTTTTACAAATAGAGGCTCTTAGGGCGCACAGAAACTTTTACACAGAGCAGCTTTTACACACAGAAGCTTTTACACAAAAAAGCCTTTACACAGAGAAGTTTTTACACGACACACAGAAGCTTTTTACACCGAGAAGTCTTATACAGAGGAGCTTTTGCGCACAGGCGCGTTTACCCAGAGAAGCCTTTACACAGAGAAGCTTTTGCACACAGAAGCCTTTTACGCACAGAACCTTTTGCACAGAGTAGCTTTTGCATAGAGAAGAGTTACACAGAGAAGCTTTTGCGCACAGACGCGTTTACACTTACACAGAGAAGTCTTTAGACAGAGGAGCTTTTACGCCCAGACGCGTTTACACAGAGAAGTCTTTACACAGATGAGCTTTTGCACACAGAATCTTGTACACACAGACGCGTTCACACACAGAAGGTTTTACAGACAGACACCTTGACGGCGCACAGAACTTTTACATAGAGTAGCTTTTTACACAGCGAAGCTTGTTCACAGGGTCGCTTTTATACACAGAAGTTTTTACACATTTTTTTTAAATACACACAAGCTTTTACACACAGAAACTTTTACACACACAGAAGCTTTTACACAGAAGTTTTTACACAAAAAAAGCCTTTACACAGAGGAGCTTTACACAGAGGAGCTCTACACGGAGGATCTTTTACACAGAGAAGCTTGTACACAGGGAGGACTTTACACACAAGCTTTTACACACAGAAACTTTTACACACAGAAGCTTTTACACAGAAGTTTTTACACAAAAAAAGCCTTTACACAGAGGAGCTTTTACACACAGACGGTTTTACACAGAGGAGTCTTTTCACACGGAGGCGTTTACACAGGGAAGCTTTTACACACAGAAGCTTTTCACAGAGTAGTTTTTACACAGAGAAATCTTTACACAAAGAAGCCTTGACACAGAGAACTGTGCACACAAAGAGGCTCTTAGACAGAGAAGCCTTTTACACAGAGCAGCTTTTTCACAGCGGAGCTTTTACACAGAGGAACTTTTGCGCAGAGAAGCTTGTACACTCAGAGGCTTTCGCACAGAGAAGTCTTTTACACAGAGAAGCTTTTACACACAGAAGCTTTTACACAAAAAAACCTTCACACAGAGGAGCTTTTACACACAGAACTTGGTATGCAAAGAAACTTTCACAAACATAAGCTTTTACAAGGTTGTTTTCACAGAAGCTTTTACACAAAAAAACTTTACACAGAGAAGTTTTTACCCACAGAAGCTTTTACAGACAGAAACTTGTACGCAAAGAAACTTTTACACACAGAAACTTTTACACACAGAAGCTTTTACACACAGAAGCTTTTACACAGAAGTTTTTTCACCAAAAGACCTTTATATACACAGAGGAACTTGTACGCACAGACGCGTTTACACACAGTAGCTTTTACGCATAGAAGCTTTTGTGCAGAGAAGCCTTTACCCATCTTTCATCATGTCTCATTTTTCATGATCATTCACCATCTGTCATCTTTATATCTTCGCTTTCATGCTCTTTTGGTCAACTCCCTCCGTCGTTTACTTGTCATTTCGCACGGTGTTCTGTCCGTCCACGCTTCGCCCGCTCCCTCTGCGGCGAAGCAAACTAAACGAGAACCCAGGAATCAATAGCGACTAGAAAGATTTGATAGAGTTAATTACATGAGCAGAAATAGCGACTAGAAGAATGTAGACGTAGCTAACACAGCATGCGGTCGTGAATTGTGGCCTCTGATACCATCAGTGCGCACGATGTTTCAGTAAAGATCTTTCGTGGACTTCGTGCAGAGTTCAGCTGCCCACGCCACAAGATTTTTTGAAAAGGCGTGCTGCGTGCTGTCTTGCTTTTGGGTTCTCCGGCCCACCTTGTTTTTTCGAACGCTTTTAGGTTGATAGATGTTGATCGTTTCAACATGTTTCAACTTTGCGAGATTTCACTTAGCCAGTTGCCTTCCAGAGAAAGTTGGCCTCGGCTGAAGAACCGTGGGGCGGGGCTGCTTCTTGCACGAGAATGCTGTAGGAGGTGGAACAAAAGCAACCCAAAACATTCCCAAACTGCCTGGAACCTGTGCTCCCACAATTATGATCAGTAGCTACATGGGTTGGTCCAATACCTAAGGTCTGAATCAGCTAGCTAGCTAGTTTCGGGAATTGAGGAGTGAGAAGCCAACGCTTTTGGGTGACCCATCTCAATGGCCCAAAGTACCGCTCCTCATGGCCAGGTCGCTGAAATGGCTCGTGCAGCGAGAGGTATCGCTGCAGTGGCAGCATTGGGGGCCCTTTGCCTGCAGTCATCGCAGTCGTTGGTCCCAAGTTCATTCAAGTGAATCCAGTTGAAGTGCAAAACCCAAGATGGATACTGATTACGGGCCCGAGTTTTTTGGTGGGCCACATCATTGATCCTCTTTGTGTCCTGAGGCCTTCCTTTTCCTGGGGACCTCCTTCATTGCGCCAAATGGTTGTAGGCGGTATGCTGTATGCCGCACATGGAACGTGCTGGTGGACATGGATGGGGAAAACTAGTGTGAAAGTCCAACTGGAGGAGGGCATTAGCCAAGAGTCAGCATGAAAGGAACAACAGAAAAGGCATGAATTATGCAACTTTGAGAACAGACTGTTGCAGTAGTGTTGCCATTAGACTGACTAAACCAAGCCTCTCTATGTCAATGTCTATTGATCATGCTGTACAGAAGTATCGCGGTTCTACACCCTCCATCGTATGCTTTGGGGCGAGGCGTGCTGTGGACACCGAGATTCATAGAGCCACAGGCGCGCCTGTCTCAGTGGCCATGGGATGTCGCCCTGTCGAACGACCTGCCAGGAGCTGGTGGCCCCCAAGACCAGTGCTTCGGCAGCAAAGAATCAGAATTGCATAGAATCGCTGCATATCACTGCCATCGGAGAGTATCCAAATTGATCGACCCAGAAAGCAAGAACCACCCCGGACACAAACTGACAACCACTCCATGAAACATTGAAAGATGGGAACCAATTCAATCTCCAGCATGAAGGATCGTGAAAAGGCATGCAGCTGCTTAAACCAAACATTCTCGACCATTCAAGCAGCTGGCAAGGTCATTCATGGGATCTGCTTCTACTGCCCGGGCCCAGATGTAAAGAAGTCACCTTGCACATCCTTGCACCCATGCCATCATACTGAACTGATCGGAACCTTCACCCGAGAAATCCACGTCATGTGGCATGCGAATGTGGTGCAAATTTCTTCCGGGCCGCAGGAAGGCAACTGTTTCCGTCAATGTTTATCAGAGGGCTCCTCTGGTCAGCGATTATTTTCTGGGCTATTTCTTATCTTCCAAAAACTATTCAAAACTATTCAAAGCATCTTTTGTACTCATGAGTGTCAAGCCGGTTCACCTCGCGATTGACCCTGAGATGCAAGGTGGCGCTGCCCCTCTTGGGCCTTGCGGCACTTTGCTCTACGCGCAGTCGAAGGCGTTCAGATCAATGGCAGACAGCCTCCGGCAAGACCAGCTCCAAGACATAACAAGACATGACAAGTATATACAATACAGTCAGATATAGTCAATATATATATAATATGATATATATATAATATACATATATAATATAATATATATATATGTCAACATAGTAACATAGTCATTCAAGGTCATTCTCCCAGAAGACGTCAATGCGATTCAATCAGAGCATAGTTCCGATAGCTACGCATGTCTCGCAGAAGTTTCGGGAGGCCTGCGGCCAGCACTACTGTGATGCCAATGCCGCTGGCCGGTGCAGCTCTTCCTGTTGAGGACAGCGCTCTGCAGAACTGTTGAGGTCATCTAAAGCATATAAAGCATACTGTATGGGCAGCATACAGATGCATACAGCGTACATCAGCAGGTTGAATAATTACCATGTTGACGGTAGTGAAATCATGTCACTCGTTTCTTTTGAGTGTCTTTGGTTCTTTGCCAAAAAAACATGAGGGACTCTTTATTGACTTTAAATGACTTTAATTGCATTCAAATGTGCAGGCAGATGAACCTGCAGTTGTTATGCATACCGCCGGTGGCCGCCGAAAGCGCTTGGGTGTTGGTGGCAAGGCGGTCCAAGTCTCCCGTGTCACAGATTGCCAGGGGGTGCAGTGGTTCCTGATGTTCCTGACTCGATTGTCTGGTGATGTCTGATGATGTCCGGTGTATCATCATTCATAATCGAGATTATAAAATATTATAAAGATATTAGAAAACAGGCTACGTATTTAAAATAAAGATATATAAAGGTGTTTTCGCCCCGGGCAACATCTAGAGTTCTGAGTTAGGGGAATTCAGATACCACAGTCTTGAGCTCTCGATTGCATTGCCCAGATCTGCATGTTGACCGGCTTGACTTGCTGGCATGTCTTTGGGGTGGCGGCCAAAATGACAAGTTGCTCTGGGAATAGATCTTCTGGTGGCGACTTGATGGATAGACATACTGTACATCAGGCAAGTGACAGTTGCCCAAAACTGCTCCTCTAACACCATCTCACAGAAAAGCGTACACGTGACGTTCGGTGACTCTGTGCTCTTTCTTGACATCACCCACGGAGGACCACGGAGGCATGAAATAGGACCTGCCAACTGTTCGTAGATTTCCAGCTGGTCTTCTCTGGACTAGCTACATCTTGCTACATCTTGCTACATCTTGCTACATTGTTTGTCTATCAAGCTGTCCAACTTAGTGATTGCGGGACCCCTTGACAAGTTCTTCTCGCCGTGACAGGAAGAAGTTCAAGGGTATTTACCGCTCCTACAGTGGCAAGAAGAACGTTCGTTTGGGACCCAGTAAATTGTGATGTACCAGCTGCAGGTGACTTCAACTTTTACTGGAATTGGAATTGTCGTATCAATTTTGTCTTGCTCTGTTCGGAAACTGGCACAGTTTGATTTGGCAGTGCTACCTATATTGTTCAAGGCCAGTCAATCTGTCCTGGCGGGGAAAATGTCCGTTTTGACGATGTTTTGACCCATGGTCCCCAGTAGATGCTGGCCGAAGCTTAGGATTCTGGCGACCCAACTGCCGCTGGCATAATGTTTGGTGGGCCAAGGACGCCAACTCCATTGCAACCTGTGCAACCCATTTGCCTCTGCTTGCTGTGTCAGTTGCAGTGAAGCAATTGCTGTGCGAAGGAAAAGAAATGGGTCCGGCTCTTCATCAGCATGGCTGCCCTGCGAAAGGCGCAAGTCAGAAATTGGAACTGAATCGGTGAGGGATGGTGACGATACAGTGTATCGGATACAGAAGTTAGAGAGGAAATTGGGAAGTTGAGAATGTTGAGAACTGAGTGGCAAAGATCCAAGTTGCTCTTGGCAACATCCGTTCCCTTTTGCGTGAACTTGTTCGAGCCCACATAAAGGATGTGTGCTCCGGAATGTATCCGTTTGGAATCACCATCCTTGGCTGGTCAAATTCAAGCCCTGCAGTCTGATGCTGAAAATTAAGGTTAGGGACCCTATACAGTTGCTAGATGTTGCTAAGCGGCTAGACTTTAAGAGGATCAGGTAGTGAGGTAGTGAAAGTCACAACAGAACTCAGCAAGGTCTTAATCCCACACCAGGATGTATACACTTAAACCATCTTGAACCGTAGCTTTCCTTTTACGGCGCAGCATGCTGCGAATCCCGGTCTCTTTACTTTCCTTCACCGCTGCCTAGCCGACCTGCCCTGCAGATGGACGAGCGTGGCCTGGACTACATGGCGAGGCACCGAAAACTTGATGGACATCGAAGGACATCAAACACATTATGTCACATATAATAACACACACAGACAATCACACACACATATTTATATCATATATATATAGTATATAATTATATATGGCACATTGTGTCACTATTGAGGGTCCAGCGCTGACAATAGCGATGAAGCTTGACCGCAAAACTTGGTTTCAAGAAGAGAGACCCTGCATATTCATCCATATTCCTCCATCGTACTTTAGTTTTCATGAAGCCTAAAGTAGTATGTTTGCAATTTCATTGCATTATTTTGCATCGATACCTCGAAGCCGACCAGCTACGGAAGTGACACGTGATGATTTGTTCAAGCGCTAGGCGAGCTGGCTTGGACCTGTACGCATGGACCAAGGAGCTGCATTAAGATGCAGCAAACGGGGAAGGGTAGGAGCAACGGAGGATTCCCCGAGGATATAAAATAGTAGTAGACATTTGGAATTCTGTATGGATTCGGCGTGGGGTCGAACTTTCAACGATTCTAATTACGTGATTCTGAGGTCGTTGAATTCATTCATTGTGTTCTCAGGAAGCTGTTGACACAGAGAGTCCATCTTGCAGCGATAGCGTTTCACCAGGAGCACTGGGAACCAGGCTCCAGGCAGCCTTTGCGCCTCAAGGCCCTGCCTTGGGAAGTGAGTGGAAAAAACATGTGCCAGTTGATCTGGCCAATTCTGTTCAAATTTGACCAAGTTGAGATTTTGTAAGACGTCCACATTTGGCAAACTGCATGGATGACCAACAAACTGTTGGTTTTCGCTTGTAAAATGTTGTAAAGTTGGGACAGCAACGAACGTGGGAACTGCGAGGTGAGCACCACGGGGAAAGCCATCAAGGATAAGCGTTTGTGGTGGGGAGCTCAGCGAGAACCGAGGGCAGTGATCTTTTGGACGGTGTAGGACCAGTGTAGGTGTCGTGTAGGTGTCGTGTAGGTCGTAGGTGGTGATATGTGAAAATATGTGAAAATATGGGAAAATATGGGAACATATGGGAAAATCATCTTCACATCATTCACATCCTCTGACGAATTTGCAGATAACTCATGAGGCTTCACCAAGTCAAGTTGCGCTTTTGAAGCCACTTTCTGTTGGGGTCAGTCATGCGGTCATGTGGAACAGGAAGGATTGGAAGAGCCTTGTTGAGGCCTGATTACGACAAATACCTCAACCAGGGCAAGCCATTGGCTGAGATTTTCGCAGTGCGGATGCCCAGGCTACCTTCATGGCCAGTTGGCATTCGGCAGAACAGCCCTGCATCAGTTGATTGGGCATGATTAACCCATCTCAAAGCCACCTGCCGCTCCAAGGGGCCCAAGTATAGCAAGAAGCCCTTGCCATGGAATCAGCGCAAGGCCCTGAAGATACTTGGTTGCATTTGGGAGAGGATCGATTGATATAGATTGTATACTGAATTATACTGATTACATGGGGGTACTGAATTGATCGATACGGTCGATACGATGATATTGACCGAGGAATCCAGCAACGCCACCAAAAGGATTGAAGGCAGGGATTCCCGAGGTGAATGGAGCATGTCACAGAGCCACACAGGGCAGGAAACGGATGGAAACGACGCGTTTTGGACTCACCTTGCACTGCAGAATGAACATGCCCGAATAATCTGAATATGCCATCCATACTATTTGCCCGGATGAAGAGTGCACGTTATGGTGATGCAACAAGTTACATGAAATCATAGTCTTTGACAGAGGCCAGGGTTCAGCTTTTCTGTGTAGTTCAGCCATGTTTGGCATCTTATGACAACTAGAATTCACCATCCCTTCAAACAAAACAGGATAGCTGTGCTGCATTTGACTTTAACATGCATGTGTGACGATGTTGACATCTCTTGACATCTTTTGAGTATGTGGCTGCGAGAGAAAGTGGCCGATTGTACAGGTCTTGCTGTTTCCAAAAAAAAAAAATACATCAGATACATTCAGATGCTGTACTCAGAGCTGTGTACTGGTGACATGTGACCGTCCAATATGCCGCAGGTCAGCGCCTCATCATCTGTGAGCTCTGACGCCTGAGCGCCTTACGAGCGTGCACCCCACTGGCGGAAAAAAGAGCCGCTGGACGTGTTGGCCTGACGCCATTTAGACTGAACTTGTGAAGCAGTCTTCTATCATATCTATCATTCACCACTCGTCAAAATGTTCATTGCTCTCGCAGCTCTCCCAAACCACTTCTTGATTCAGGAAGTCAGCAAAATTCAGCGAATGCAGGGATTCATCATGATTCATCATGATTCATCTCCACTTTGAACGCCGCCGGCCATGTCTTTTTCTGACAGAACGCCGGCAGGCAGCGGCATCCCAGGAGAGCCTGGCCAACTTCAGGGCGTCACCCGCAAATGCCCACCCGATCCCACCCGTTGGTTCAAGGTAGAGGAAGCATAGGAAGCTGACTATAGCTGGCTTAAAGATATTGCAAACATCATATTGTTTCCTCAGTCGAGCTGAAATTGACCTTCCAATTACCTTCCATTGGCTTTGGTGGGATGATGGTGTTAATGAAGTAGGCTTGATGGATACCGGAGGCAGAACAGCTGTACTAGCTGTAAAGAGTGGGATTTGCATGGATTTGCTGGATTCCCACCCCAATCCTTCGAATCAAACGGAAAAGATCAGCACATGATTCACGATTGCAGCAATGCCATATATGCGGGATTTGCACTGTCGCCTTTCAAATTGGCTCATCGCATGCTCAGTTTCACCGCTGCTACCCAATATGAAGAAGGCAATGCAATTGGGCACGTGCTTTGAATTTTGTCCGCAGCACATCAGAGTCTAAAGTTACAATTAAAGGTCCAGAAGCTTGGATATCCTCAGTGATAGTAAATTTGCAACCATGCAAGAGTATACTGTGAAATTGCGGGCGGCTAGTCGATTCAAATGGAGAAGCTCAACTAATGCATGAATTCAACACAATAATAGAGCTCATTGGGTCCTGGAAACAGGCTTGTGTGCGCTGACCAACAGCATCCGACAGCCACATTTGGGACGCCTTCCCAAAAGAAATCGCACGAATTGGTTTCAGGCAGCATTGTCGTCATTAAATTCATTATAATAAAATTCATTAAGCATCATTGAGGGAGGACCCGTTTCAGCTCTGTCGCCATGGAACCGCTCACGCTGACAAAAGAGCCAGTCGTTGAGAAGGATGCTATGGAGGAATCGACGGATTTCTACCGCAACTCAGCTTGAAACAGCATCAACAACTTGGAATGTTGGTTGAGTTGGCTGGGTTGGTTGACTTGGCTGCTTTGCTGCGTCAAGGTTGTTTGACTGGTCAATTTGTGAAAGGTTATCAGACGGTTTTGAGGCTTTGAAACTGCCAAGGTGGTATGGCTGAAGAGCTGTCCAGCCTTGCTCCTTTGAGTGCAGAAATCCAATGGGCAGCTGGACTGCATGCTCCACCAGCAGCTCCAAGTATGAAAGATGGTTTGGTCCCAGTCCCAAAGCAAAAGTCAGCCTAAAAGATCCTGGAAAATCTTCCCTTGCGTCCCTGACCGTACAGTTCCTACAGCTCAGCATGCTTCAGTGTTGGACAGATGTGGACACATGTGGATACCAACATCTGAGTGAAGAAGGAATGAGGTGAGATATCTCCACTTGAAAAAATGGGCAACAATCTCGAAGAATGTGTTCCCAGATTTCCCAGGCTCCAGACGTGCCTTTGCGCGCCAAGCGCACCGTCGCCGTCCCCCGCGTTGCAGCCACTGGGCGGCTCCCACGCCCAGAGCCACGGGAGCCGCGCGCAGCTCCACGGCGGGTGCCCGAGTGGCCGCGGGAGCCGCGGGAGCCGCGGGAGCCACCCCCGGTGGCACGAGACGTGACAGAGGTGCAGGGCATTGCCGGACGGCAAATCTTTTGAAATCTGAAATCTTGAGAAAACTGATGCAGGGGTGAACCAATGAAGCGATTTGGAAAATTTTGAACATCTCCAAAGTTCAAACCCCATTTGGTACAGTTTTCCCATGTTTTTCCCGTGCAGGTATCCACGAAGCGGCCGCCGCATTTGGCCATACACACGCGCCCAGTGCGGACGGCCGCACGCCGGGGTCTGCAGACCCCGCAGGGACGACGTTTGCGGCTGGGTGCCGGAGCCCAGAGGATCACTTGTTGTGTGCCTGGCAGCCTGCTGGCAGCCTGCTGGTGGCTTGTTTTCCACTCCTGGATTGATCTAACCGGATGCCGTTTCGAAGCTGGGCTTCACGCAATGTCTAATACGAGAGCATGACAAGAACAGACAAGGAATCTCTCTGGGTCTGATTTGCCTGGATATTCACTTAGAGATCTAGGAAAACAAATGAGAAGAATCCCAGCCTTTTGGCAAGTCATTTGTTTTGTACTTGAGAACAGGGAGATGTGTACCTTCAGATTGTCCAGACTTTATGAGACCTGACATACTTACGCCACTGCGTGATTGAAACGGTGCCTTTGCTCATCCTCCTTCCAATCAGCATCTTGGAGCCAAATGCAACAGACTCGAGATTCCTACTTCGCACCGCATTTGTTCCCTCATTTCCCCCCTTTCCCCTCCCCTAGCATCCTCCAACATGGCACGGACGGCTGCTCGGTGGGCGGTGGCCCTGGTTGCTTTGCTTGCGACAACTGCAGCCTTTGTGGTACGGCCTGTGAGGTGCGCCCAACCTGTTGAGAACCACGGCCGTCTAAGTTTTGGAGGTTTTTTACATGCAAAAGCCTCATTGTTAATTCGTTGCTATCCCACGCCCTATGGATCCACACAAGGCCAAGCGTAGAACGCCGTCGCGTTCTTCCAAGAAAGATCCTGTCGAGTTCTTCCGGACGCACAGTTTCCGGCTCCAAGCTGACGCTCCATGCTGGGAAGAATATGGGACGCCGCAGCCTCCTGCAGCAGGTGTGTCAGATTTCAGCAAGTCTCCCAGATGTTGAATCAGTTTGGTCTATTTAAAATTGCTTAAAATTCCTGGTATATTTAAATATATTTAATACTTGCTGCACTGTACTTGGTGTTTTTGTAAAATTGATCCATCCGATTTGAGGACCTAGTTTTCATCCATCCAATTTATGAAGTCTCGGCAATTTGATGGATCATTTTGGTGCCTGAGACTTGGAGACTGACGCATGATCTGATTTTCCTAGTTTTGTGAACTGTGTTGAAACATGTTGAAGCCAGGACTTCAGACAATTTTTGGGATCTAACTGGGATTAAGTTGGATTCAACAAATCTCGCCTCAATTTCCATCAATTTCCCATTCTGCCTCGCCACCACTCTGCATTCTGTCCGTTGTCACTTAGTGACTTTGCGATCGCCAGGCCACTGACTTTCTTCCTCTCTTGCCAGGTGGGGAATGGTGGGGACCACCACATCAGACATCGTCAGACTGTTTTTTCTGGATTGATTATGATGATTATGCAAATTGTTAGGTGTGTTAGGTTGTATGTATCGCTGCAACATTGGGGAAAGTGATACCACTTCGTCACTTCATCCTCCATGTTCGTGCTCAACTTTGCAGGAGTTTGGTTTGTTTACCTTTTTTCTCGCTTGCCCAAGCAACTTGGCAAAACCCTGGAGTGCTTGTACTAGTAGGCCCAAGCTTCCGTTGTTTTTCTTGGACCTTCGCAATGACAGATTGATACCGATGGAACAGTGAAGCAATCAGGATCCCCTCGGCTGAATCCTTCGAATCACGCTGTGAGATCTCGATCTCTGAGGCAGTACATTGCTGCCAAGGGCGATCCCAATGCGACATCTGGAACAGGTGCCAGATGCTGCCAGATGGTGCCAGTTGGATCTGCTGGTAGACTCCAGGACCCAAGACATGAGGATCTGTGAGGAGATTTGTGAGGAGATTTGTGAGGAGTGTATGTTGCAGCTTTTTGACTCACGTGCAACAAGTATCAACAGGTGCAGCAGTCCAAGATGGGATTTGTATGGATGTGTCAAGTCAGTGCAAGGCAATTCAACGCTAGATCATGCTGACGGTATGCAGTGCCACCCATCATCTTTCAATATGCAAGAAGCAGGACAGAGACCAAAGATTGAAAGATTTGAAAGCCGCAGACATTGAAGAACAAAGATCATAGAGATCTGAGAGATCTAAGATCACAGAATCTTGAGCCCATCTTGAATCCATCTTCAATCCATTGCATCTGCATCCCATTGCCAAGTCCTAGAGATGCTCACAGCAGCTGACTGTGTCGCTGTCCACAGGTGCTGAGACCTGGGGTCTTTGGACCAAGGATCCTGGTCCACGCGGCGCGACTCGGGAGCAGATTTTTGGAGAGGTGAAAGGCATTGGAAGGCTGTCAGGATCATACTTTAGATATCACCACACCCTTAACAACTGCATAAAACTGCACATATTTTCTTTGCGAATCTTGAAACAACTTCAACCAGTGACTGCTTAGTTTGTCCTCGAGGGTTCGCTCAAACTTGGCAGCCCAAGGTACGGCTCAGCAATTTTCAGCCGCTTGGTATTCTTATAGATGCTCAGCAGGGAGCATTTGTGGTTCATACTGCAGAACAATCAAGATAGGGCAAAGCGAGGTAAACAGGTTGTCACCTTTAGTCAAAGAATTTCATTGAGGATGATACTCTTGTGATTTTCTGTTGCAGTTGCTTCCAGGGATCAGAGCAAGCACCGGCCTTTGTCCCGGGGTTGAGTCTCCCACGACGACCAGACTTGGGGATTTCCATTTCTCACGACCTTCCGTCATCCAAGGCGTTTGGAAGAGACTGGACAAGCGCCAGCTGGTTGGAGCTTTGACAAGGCAGTGGATGACGCCTCATATCGCCTCATGATGTGCCACATGAAACGTGCTGATTATTTTGACCTATTGCAGGCTGACTGGTGGCTAGAAGAGCATGGCTTGATCATGGAAAAACCAGATCCATTGCCTCCAGGCAACTTGGGTTTTGTATTGGCGGATTGTGTTCGCTCGGTCTTCAAGCACAGTCCAGAGTCCATTGAAAATGTTTCACTTTCCGCCTTTGCACACCCTCTTCATTTTTAAGATCCCAACTTTGCAAACATTGTGCAGACTCTGTTCGACGTGTGGTTTGCTTGAGTAGTGGCATGCACCCTTCAATTGCAGGCTTCCAAGGCGTATTACAATGAAGTGTCTCTATTATTTTATTGTCTTTGTACTCATTTGATATTCAGCAGAGGATGCGATTCCTTTCACTTTTCTTTGGAGCCGACTGAGGCAAGTATGAGGTTACAGGCGATCGAGAGGCCCAGCCTGCAAGCACAAAATCACGAAAGTCGTCCTCCCCAAGTTTAAACAATATAAAATGATGGGTCATCCACCAATTAGCAGCTTGCGACTTTGATTTAAACCTGCTGTGGTCAGCCGTTCTGCTTTGATTTTGCTCGCAGGTAACAACAACCCTCACAATTTTCCCAAAGGACAGCACACTTGCGCTTGTTTTGCAGGTGTCTATCTCACTATCTCTGCAATTTGACGAAAATTGTCCATTGAATCAGTGACTTTGTTTGAGAAAGGTGCTTTTGGAAAGGTGCTTCTGCGGTTCTGCGTTTTAGGCTCGAAACAGAGGCTCCTTGTGTTGAGCGCGGTTGCCAGGACAACGATGGCAAGCAAAGATGGGCAACTTGGCTAAAGATTATGTCGATGTTGAATGAGGCCACAATGAGGCCATAAACCTACTTTCATCATGCACGCCCCAAGCCACTGTTCGATGGCAGCTTGATTTTCCTAAGGAACTCGCCAATGGTGCCAAGCTCTTTGATGTGACCCACTTGCCATGTCGTAGCTTGGCGACGGACACTTATTGCTGCGGAGGTTGACGAGGAACGCAGTGAATCTTCGTGTCAAGTGCAGCAACAAAAGATCCCAAATCATTGTCTACAGAGTCTACATGTATTTGCCACCCCAACTGGTGCGTTCTGATATTTTATCATATTTTATCACTACCCACAATCTACCCACCATATATTCATCCTTACAGATCCATACAGATCCATACAGATCCTTCGAAATCCTGACAGACCATTGTCCACCAGTGCTCCATGGCCAGGCAGTGCCCGCTACCAGGGCTCCTCGTGCTCTCCAGCCTCAGCCGCAGCCAGTGACTTCCCAGTGACGCCTGGTGCCGCGATGCCCAAGGTGCCCAACTGCCAGAAGATGCCCGGCAGCAGCCCAGCGTGGGGCTCTGTTATGCCTTGGGGCATCCTGAGTCATTTCGGGTAATGGTTGTTGAACATGTTGAACATACTCATTGACTATTATAATATTGTTCAGAGTTCCTAAGTCTCTAGGATGGAGGGGTTTCAAAATATTTTTTTTTATGATTTATTTATGATTTGAATACGATTTCCATTTATGATTTTTTTATGGGTTCAAATTGTGGTTATGATTTTTTTATGGTTTGGATATGATTTTTTTATGATTTTTTTGTGATTTTTTTAGTCCTCAGAATCTGGTTTTCAGCTAAAAACTCGAGAAATTTTCGTTTTTTTTATGATTTTGCTAGAGTTTCCTTTTCCCCAAAGCCTTTTCAGCAGAAAATTTGATTTTGGAAGCAAAATCGAAGCAAAATCGTAAAAAAATCGTAAAAAAATCGTAAATGCATCCAAGGTCCCCAGAATCTGGTTTTCAGCTAAAAACTCGAGAAATTTTCGATTTTTTTATGATTTTGCTAGAGTTTCTCTAAGAAAATCGTAAAAAAATCGTAAATGCATCCAAGGTCCCCAGAATCTGGTTTTCAGCTAAAAACTCGAGAAATTTTCGATTTTTTTTATGATTTTGCTAGAGTTTCTCTAGGAAAATCGTAAAAAAATCGTAAAAAAATCGTAAAAAAATCGTAAATGCATCCAAGGTCCCCAGAATCTGGTTTTCAGCTAAAAACTCGAGAAATTTTCGATTTTTTTTATGATTTTGCTAGAGTTTCCTTTTCCCCAAAGCCTTTTCAGAGCAGAAAAAATGATTTTGGAAGCAAAATCATCGTAAAACAATCGTAAAAAAATCGTAAAAAATCGTAAAAAAATCGTAAATGCATCCAAGGTCCCCAGAATTTGGTTTTCAGCTAAAAACTCGAGAAATTTTCGATTTTTTTGTGATTTTGCTAGAGTTTCTCTGTAAAAATCAAATTTTCTGGTGGAAAAGACTTCAGGGAAGAGGAATTCTACGAAAATCGTAAAATAATCGTAAAAAAATCGAAAATTTCTCGAGTTTTTAGCTGAAAACCAAATTCTGGGGACCTTGGAAGCATTTACGATTTTTTTACGATTTTTTTACGATTTTTTTACGATTTTCCTAGAGAAACTCTAGCAAAATCATAAAAAAAACGAAAATTTCTCGAGTTTTTAGCTGAAAACCAGATTCTGGGAACCTTGGATGCATTTACGATTTTTTTACGATTTTTTTACGATTTTTTAAACGATTTTGCTTCCAAAATCAAATTTTCTGCTGAAAAGGCTTTGGGGAAAAGGAAACTCTAGCAAAATCATAAAAAAATCGAAAATTTCTCGAGTTTTTAGCTGAAAACCAGATTCTGAGGACTAAAAAACCATTAAAAAATCATAAAAAAATCATATCCAAAACCATTAAAAAAACATATCCAAACCATAAAAAAATCATAACCACAATTTGAACCCATAAAAAAATCATAAATGGAAATCGTATTCAAATCATAAATAAATCATAAAAAAAAATATTTTCCAAAAATGGCATCCTAAAGGATTTAAGAAGTCTGAATAATATTGACTATTATGATCGTCACTTTTGATTTTGCGGATTTCATGTCAGATCGTGGTCAAGTTATATTACCAGGTTGTGCTTGTTTTTATTGATCTGATTTTGTCTGGGATATAGATGGATATAGTACAAAGAAACGGGAAGTGGGTGAGAGCTTCTTGTGGGTGAGAGGTTCTTGGTATGGACCAAACGTGAGGAAAGAGCACCGTGCGCTATTCACAGACTGTTTCAACCACTGTAGATCCACTAGTCGTTTTGGACACACGGAAAGCCAGAACCTGGAAGGAGGTGTGAGGTGGATTTGGCATTGCTTGTTCGTGCAGCTTATGTAATTATTTGCAGCGTCAATTAAGTAAGAGCATCTGCAATTGTGGTACGTTCCACAGGGCAAGACAGTGGATTCTTGGAATCTGTCAAGAAATCATTTGATTCATGGAAATGTTGTTTCCACGTGATTCACATACGAAGATGCCACAAATGAATAGACATGATGAGGGAAAACTGGGTGTTCGATGGTGATGAGCAGAGGCAAGACCATGCGGTGCTCTTTGTTTTGAGCTCTCAAAGCTGAGCGGGTCGGCGGGACATCGACGCATCCCTTAGAAAGAAAAACTGACTGGGGTGGACCGTGTGGTGCAGATGTTTGGAATTTGGATTTGACAAGCTTATTGAAAGGAACAACACTGATCAAGTGGATCCCAAGACCCTGCTTTCAGGATGTTATCGACTGCAACCTCCCTCATGATAATGCTTTCACTCTACAAATGTTCTTCTTTAGAACATGATCGCATGCGTCACTCTGCTCTCCCTTCACGTACTTGTTGACACCTGGACATATCGCCAAGGTGCCAAGGCTGCCAAGCCGAGCAAGGAGAGCTGGAGAGCCCAGAAGAAACAATCAACTGGAGAGTAGACAGAGACGGCTTTGCAACTGTCTCCTTGGTTGGTTTGGACATCTATCCAGTGAGAAGCAGCTGCGACGCAAAGTGAAATCATAGAGCTAAACTCGGCGGATCGCTTGCGTAACGACACTTCCAGAACTGCGGAAGTCTGTGTTTATACAGTACCCATACCCACCAGGTACCGTACAAGATTCTAAGATCATACAAGTATGAAAAAAGCATTGAATAAAGAGCATTTTGGTTGCACTTGACATATTTTGACATCGTTTTAACTGAATCTTCAGCTTAGGTGCCGGAACGGAAGTGGAGCTGAGCCACGAGGAAAAAACCATAGAGGCCGCAGCTGGGCAGAAGGGATGTTGCGAAAAAAGAGATCGACTTGCCAATTACACTACTTATCTCAGGGTCTATTCACCTGCAATTTACGGTAAAACACCAACTTTGAACTCGCAAAATTGATCAACCAAATTGACTTCCTTTTGGATCTTTTGGACATTTTTGGACTGTTTCTTCACCTTTTCGATCTTTTGTTGGACACTTGACGGCGAACTTCACGCTTTGAATTTTCGCGTTCCTTCATGGCTTCACCTTAGCGCACCTCCATGCGGCAGGCCACGGCGATGCCGGTGGCTGTGCCATCGGTGCCACCGGTGCCACCACCTGCAGCAGGACCGGAACTGGTGAGTCGCGCAGTGTCGGTGCAGGAGGATCTCCTATCCAGGCTTCGTTCAGTGCAATGCCACCGCAAGTGCCATCAGGTCAGTTATGACAGTTATGTCGTCGAAGTTTACAACATCCAAGTGTTTCCATAAGTAAATACCCGCTGCCATGGGTAGTTCGGTCCAACAACATTGGCTGTGTCTGAACATATTTCGCAGAGTGCTCACAGGGTTTGACATCTCCTAGGCCCCCTCATGTCTCATGCACTTCATGATCATGGTACTGAAATGAGATAAGGCAATATGATAATATGGATCAAGATGGATCAATATGGCAGTTTGCGGTGGTTGTGACTTCACGACATCTAGTGTCGCAGTTCTTAAAGATTTCTCGAGTCCTGTTCCCTGAGTGAGTCAGTTCTTGAGATATCTCGAGATTCGTCAGGCCTGAGACCTATGGTGAGTCCGCTCTCAGTGACGTCTACGAGGCACATTGCTATCCAAGCGGTTTGCTGGCCAAGATATGCCAAGATCATAAAGGCAAATGAGTTGCACAATCGGTGAGTACTATTTTGATATATTTTGATGTATTTTGCAATGTCCAACGATTTGTGACTGCCAAAGCATGCCAGAGCCACGATTTCCTATCACTGTCACTACTATCACCTAATCTTTGACGCATTTCAGGCAGCGTTTCGGGAAGATCCGCCAATACCGAGACCACAGGCGGATGGGCGCAATGGGCTGCATGACCCGCTGGAAAATGCTGGGGAAAGTGGGACATCATGCCACCATAATGTGCAACCATATGCAACCCACAACTCGGACATACGCGGCCAGTTTTTTGATTTGCCTCTTTTTTTTTCAGGTGCAGCTGCTAGAAGTCTTGGACTTGCAACTCTTCCTGCCAGCGCGAACTGTGACAGCGACACCAGCAGAGGCGCCAAGGGATAGGTTGAGGATGTTTGAGGTAATTATTGAGTTAGACTCAGACTCTAGTAGTTGGAGAGGGCTGTTTCATATTTTCTTCATTTCCTGTTGTTCTGCTGTGTGACTGTCACAGTGTGACTTCGGTCCCACACGATGGCATACGATGGCAATCATGAGTCAGCAACAACAAAAACAGTGAGGTAACAGTACTTGTATGTAACAGTGAGGTAGCAAGATGTACGGTTTTAAAAGTTTTGGCAGTTGGCAGTTCTTGGCATTCAGGGTTTATGAACAGCAACTGATATATACAGATATGAAATGATATGAACAGCATCACAACGATCCAGTCCAGGTCTTCCAGGTCTTCCAGGCCAGGGAGAGTCACTTGCCCCAGCGAGAGATTTCAGAGGACGAATTCACGAAGTGTTCGAAGATGTGCCATCCGAGAACTGAATCAAAGTCGAACGCCACCTACAGACTATCACTTGACTATCAATTTCCAACGGTCAAGTCAGCAATCATCAAATTGTGCACCAATTGATCACACAATTGAATATATATAACATGAATCATCATAAGTGATCATGAATGACTGAACATCAAAATCAATTCCATATCAATTCCAGGAGCCTTCTCCGCGACGGCACCCAGAGCCCTCGAAGTCGGCGTCCCCGCGAACAAAGGCAGGCCCATGGCCCCAAGAAGATGGCGATCAAAATGGCTACCGAGTTCCTATCATTAATAATTAGATATAATTAGTCAGATATCAACAGCTGGTGGAAGGCAGTTCTATATGTTCTATTTCATACTGGAATATCCTGGACTATTTCAATCTATATCATTCTTTGTGCGAGCTCTTGAGTCTCCATAGTTTTCATATGTTTTCATTGAGGGTAAGCTCGACGCGGATCCACTTTCACCTTCTCTTTGTCCAAATTTTGGTGGAGGAACACTTCAACTTCCAGGCCTTCCAGGCCACGCAACGCCCACTCAGAGGGTCAAATCCTCAGGGCACGCTGGGTATATCTGGTATCAAGCACCGACTGCCTCACTCTCACCATGAGCATACAAATTAGACAAGGAGTTGTTAGATCATCGGCAAAGTTGAGAATGAAATAGGTATGACATGGTATGAATATGATGAATATGCATGCTTGAATGCATGCTTGAACATGGCTTCCACGAGAACTGTGCATAGCAAAACCAGTTGGTGATGTCATGATTGTCATGTCAATTCTTTAGATGTCTAAAGCGTAGCTGCACCGCGCCAAAGGCTCATCCTTGATGTCATCGACGAAATGAGCAAACCCACTGCATACCAGGAGCCAGCTGAGGCGGGTGCGATATACTCCGTAGCAACGTTGCATGTCAAGTGCTCTCGTAGCATGGAAAGTTGTGAAATGTTGTGAATGAATGTGAATGACAAAAAAGTAACAAACACGCGGTACTGTAGGCCCTGTAGGCTGTTTGTGACTTCTGGCGGAATTTGGCCGCTGATTTTGTTGGGTGATGCACATCGAATCTCGACATTTTCAGGTCTACTTTTGACAAGTTTGTACTGCTTGCTGCGGCCACATTTTCAGGGCATGTCATATCTTGCAATCGTGTATGCTTAATCCTACCCAGAACATCCCAGAACAAGATGATAGAAAGTGCAGGAGATCATTGAATGTGTTTCCGTATGTTTCTATGCGCAACTTAGGGATTTGTATCAGGTATTGTTCCCAGGTAATTTATTCATAATAGTAAACTATCCCTTCTTTTGTCGCATTTGTTTCCTGACAGGTTCTAATTCTGCCTCCTGCGGGTTGACCATTTGGGGTAGTGTTGCACGTACCTCTGGTTCTTGAATCCCTGCTTTGGATCACAAGCGAAACACTCAATTGTCCACAATTATATAAATGTCTTGGAATGTTTAAAGTTTAAAGTGCCCATGCAATTTCTCAACATAGTTTGGAACGCAGTTGGCCACAAGCCCGAAACTTCATCAGGATTAGGCAATGATGTGGAAATCTTTTCGTTGCCAATTTCGCCTTGAACCATCCTTAGACTGAAGGTCGTGGGCGGAAGCGAGTTGGCTCCCCTCTTCACGTCCGAGGCAGATCTTCTCCAAGGGGATACGTATGCAATGACAATCGACTGTCATGATGGCGAAGTCACGAAATCCGAGAATTTTGACAGGATGACATCCCCATCTGGTGCCATAAAAAATGTCCCGAAATTTCCTTCTGAATTTTGGAGGATGGACATCGATGGACGGATGTTGTGAACCTGGTTTTCCAGATCCCAACTGGACCGTCTTCCCATGTCCCGCTGAAGTTTTCTCAGGCGCGGCGGTCAATGCCACTGGACGAGGACATGGCCCTCAAAAACTTATAAAACTGATAGAGCTTTAGAAGATCCTGGTTTTACCCTGGTGTTGTCATGTGTTTATCATTTTTTATCCATATTTGTATGTCAAAATCTGATGCCGAATTTCACCTGCCCTTATCTGTTCACTTTATTCTCGCCACAGCAGGACACCTATGGACGCAGATTGGGCCGGATACCGCCCCCTTACGAGGCTGTTTCAGACCATTATACATATTATACAGTAGATGTCATCCATTGCACACCCAGACCAGTTTTCACTTTTTGTGTAAAAACACCGAGCTTCCTCACACATTTGATTCGATTCAAGTGTCATGGTATGGTTTTTCTGGATAAATGAAGCATTGCATGTTTGCATGCTATGCGCAAGCATATGCGTGCATATATTGAGCATATAGGGGGAAAAACGTGCCTATCTCACGGGGACAACACAAACACGGTCCAAACTACCCAATGATCCTTGCAATGCCCGGAAACATATCCCACATTTAGCAGCATCGATAGAAAGGACTGCAAACACTTAGGAGTCAGCATTTAGACCCCTTCACGCTGTGGCTTTCAGATAGAATTTCATAATATTTCATCTATTAATGTTCACATTGGTTCCCTTTAGCTGTCGGGCCGCAGGTGGGTCCACCACCACCTTATGATGGTCTGGGTCCAGCAGTGACCGAAGCAGAGGAGCCAGTTGCCACCGAGGCAGTTCCAACTGAATCAAAGTTGTGTCCCATCCAAGGTACGAAGATACTGGCACTGAGGTTATCTATGGTTATTTTAGGTTCAGTTGAGCAAGAGCAACAGGGCATCATCAGGGCATCAGGGCACACCATTTGTTGAAATGTTCTTTCTCACAAGCGTTCCACTCTAGTTACTCTAGTTTCTGGATTTGATGCAAGACTGAAACCCACAAGCCCAGATCATATGATAAAACGATATAAAACGATTCCTCTGTGCATGTGTGACAAAACTCTGTTTTATTGCTGCCACCCTCTTTGATGGCGTCTGGGTGAGAAATACTGTGCCTGACTTCTTTCAAAAGTCACCTCTTTCGCAAGTTTACCCAGATGGATTGTTTGGGCGCACTGTTTGCATTGGATAACTTTTACGAAGAATTTCTTGGTCCCTCCGGTAGTGTCATGAGCTGCTTGTAGGAGCAACTACGCAAAACATTGCAGAAGAAGCAGGAACAGTTGGAGTCCAAAGAGAAGGTGCCCGATGAATTTTAAAAGGATGCACTGCACTTGGTCCCTAAGGTCCAGGATTATACATCTTGTGGATCCACAAAACTGTTTCAATATGTTTCAATGGAGTCCCCCGTTTTTTCTAGCAATTTCCAGCACTTCACAATCTGGTTCTGCCCGGTCACGTATCATCGATAATCCAGGCTTTGGCAGCGAGCCAAGCCGAAGCACAAGCGCAGGTGCGGTGAGTGGTGGACAGGACAAAGACTCATGGGAGGAAAAATGACCCACCAATAAAACCATACAAAAACACATTGTGGTTCAATGATTCAATATAGACATGAAGGAAAAGTCGCATGATTCAATTGTGGTTCGCAAAGGAAGGCAATAGGCAATGTGAAAGGCAAGGAAGAAAAGCGCTACCAAATGCATGCAAATGTTTTGATGGGCGTCATCTTCAGGTAAAGCACCTGGCTGACTTGCAGCAGAAGGCCATGTTGGTCGTGTGAAGAACCTGAAGTGCATTGTCAAATTAAGGCGAACGTTCAAAACAGGTGAGGGCAAAGCTATTCACAATTGGCAAGTTATGGCGAGTTCATTTTCTGGCGGTCCAATGCCGTCCATGAACCTCCTGTTCGGCAACACCATCCTACGACGCAGTAGTCGTTCCAAAAAGCATGGAATGCATAGTGTGCGCGAGGTGCAAGAGCAATCCCTAGCCCTAGCACAGGTGCGCTGACTTGCTGTGTCCCAATTCCCACAAAGCCACCGTGTTGCTGTACGCAGCAAAATGGCTTTTACAGAGCGCATCTAGATGAGTGTCATTAACTCGAGAGGCGAAATCCACCACAATCCTTTGTTGTCAATTGGACGCCAAAACTATCAAATGGATGGTCGGATTAATAGAAAGGCAGATAGGCGGATAGAGTTCTGATTGTAGTCGTTCCAGACAGATACTACATAATTGCATATGCTGCATATGACATATCTTTGTATGGGCGACATATACATTCCCAGCTGGTTTGTGCGCTGCACTGCCAGAGCCAGAGTTGTAGGTTTGGAGCTTTGGCACCACTTTTGATCATTCAAATACCTCAGCCATCCTCAGCCAATACGTTGAGATGCCAGGCACAAGCCACCTTGCAAGCGCAGGCGCGTTCGGTCAGTGGGAAAGTATGGGAAAGCATCAATTTTATCCGTGTCTGTTTAGCGTTTCCCACAACTAAGCGAAGAAGGCATGAACATGGATCTGTCATCTTTGCCGACTCCAGCAGGTTCATTCTCAGCGCGAAGAGACCAATCATCTGATTCAGACAGTTGGGCGTCCCAATCGCGAAAAATGCTTTACAAAGAGCTTCAATGGAATGGCTCTCCAATTTTTGCAAGTGTTTAGTGATGTTTATTGTAGCCATAGAGCTTTCGACTTGCAACAAGTTGACAATTTGAAGCAGAACGAGCCCAGGTGCAGCAGCACAGTGAGGCTGCTCAGCACTCCCTGGCGGAAGCTGCACAACGGGGCCTACACGAGATGCAGGCGAGGACAGCCATAATTCCATGTAATTGTTCCACCTGTGGTTGATGAATGTTGATGATGTATTTCAAAAGTTAGAGATGGTGTGACTTTCTGAAGTGTTTGCCATGGCCATAACATGATAAAGAGGAACCCGGAAACCTGATGTGAAGAACAACACTGTTGATCCCCTAGCCGCAACACTGAAGCTGGTCTCCCCAAAACCCTGACTGCAGGAACGACTAGCCGCTGGTGAATGGCTCAGCAACAAAGGATTCTGCAGTGCAGGTAACACTTGAGATTTCACCCCCAAGGCCTGGCATCGCGCGACAGCGACAGCGACAGCAATCCGCTGCATCAACGCCTTGGGAGACTTGAGGTGCGCTGATAGAGCTGATCATGACACTGATGATTCTCCTAATCATTGTAAATGATTATGCTGAAATTATACTGATTATACATGATTATACTATGAATTTGGATTCTGAGATGGGTCAAAACATGTCAAAAACATTCAAAAACAATGGGGGATGAAGATCCACCCAGTGCTCCAGAAGCCAAGAGCCGTTCAGTCAACGCGATTGTTTTCATTGAAAAGATGCCTTGCAGCAACTTGCCCAAGGCGTTGTTGGAGGGTCGTTTCTCTGAGACGTTGAAAGCCATGACGTCGCAGAGCGAGGTGCGCCCTCAGCTGTTCATCAGCCACTGAGAGGTCAGATTTTGTCACATTTTGGGAGCAGAGGACAAGTTGGGACAAGACTTCTAAGGCACACTGCACTAGATCTATATCATTCCATATCTTTTACCATTCCATATCTTTCCATATCTATCAATCCTATTCTTATTTTCAGAGGTTGCAACGTGTGGCACCGGCACCGCAAATTGATACAAATTGATACAACTTGTAGGAGCGCGCTGCCTATGTGGCAGCGCTGGCGGATCAGCGCTCCGCACCCATGCAGGCGATGAAACCTGATGAAACCTGTCGTGTCTCGCAATCTTTCACAATTGATAACTCATCCATAAATCCTGCATAAATCGCATCTGGAGTAGTCAACCAAAGTCAAAAGTTAAGAACCATTTTTTGGGAACGCATTGTGGATTTGTCAATCAGGGGTCCAGCAGGGCCAAGTCAATCTTCCATGTCATAGCCTGCGACTGCAGGAACTTCAGGTCAAATGAAATGCAGCGGATGAATGGGCGATGTGGTGTCCTTGTCGATAGGCATCCCAAAACTAGTATAGTAGTGCAAACGCACCTTCTTGTACTTGAGTGAAGAAGACAAGTGATCCTATTAAGAAGGATCCGACCGGAACGATTGGAAGACCCAGCAAAGGCCTGAGATTCAGAACAAATCGGTACCAACTAGCACTGCCACATACTGTCGCCTGCCCTTTCATTCTGAAAACGCAGCAGCCAATTGATTCCATACAGGTTACTCAACTCGTTGTTATTGAGCAGCCTGTCTTTTGCGATGACCTCCCAAGTTGTTTCAAGCCTTCAAGCTGTGCTTAGCTGTGCTCAGCTGTGCTTGTTTTGGACTGTCAGATGCTGCCTCTTTGCATTCCACAGCCGGCACCAGCAGCACCACCGCCGCCAAAGGCAAGGACGAGCCATGACGAGCTATCCCCAATTCAAACTGCTTCAAACCTTTGATGCAAGGGGCACGCCGTTGTCCTCAGCAATGTAGCCCCATGTGAGGATTATTGCCACAGTTTGAGGACAAAGTCTTCCATTGTTAGCGTCAGCCAGCGTCAGCAGTGAATGCGATCAAGTGGCTGCAGGTTTCCGTGGCAGCACAGACGAATCAGAAGGCCAATTCCTTTCTGGCTCCGGGCATGAGAAGCTGGTGACATTACTTCAGGAAATCGAGCAGTTCGGTAGAATGGCTCGGCTCATGTGAGCTATCCATTCCATACAATTCCATCATGTCCATACTCTTTTTTTGAAAGGACGTGGATAGGGCCTTGGATCCTCACCAGTTGAATTGTTTTTGAATTGTTTTACAACTTCCATGTTTTTCCCCATTGCTTTTCCAGTTTCGCAACCTCTTTTCCCGCAGGAAGACAATCGCAAGGAGCACGAGGCCACCAGTCACCAGTCGTACTATGTTGGATGGGCCATTTGCAGAGTGTGGAATGGACGGAATGGACGGAATGGACGGAATGGACGGAATGGACGGAATGGACGGAATGGACGGAATGGACGGAATGGACGGAATGGACGGAATGGGGTATGTTACAACATGTTCCATGTTGCAAGATCACTCAAAATCTTTGACTGTAAAAAGAATAAGCGAAGTACAATACAGTGCCACTGGGGCAAAGACCTCAGCTTCCGGAAGTTTACGTTCGGCTTTGTTTCTGCTGGGTTTGGGATGAGGCTTCCAGCGCAGATGAATCAAGATGAACACCCACCACTTATTGAGCAGCCAACCTTGCACATGAATGCCTGTGACCTTATTTGCTCAGATGCCGCCGGTAGAACCGATTAGAACTTCGCTTGTATTTCACTTGTACTTCACGGAGGTAGCTAAGGAAAGGAGAGGTATGCACAGTAAGTATTTTTTGTAGATATGGATTCCCAGTCTGATTTGTCCATGCTGGCTTTCAGCTATCTCTTGAACCAATTTGGAGCCTACTAAGTGTGATTTGGCCATGGATTTTCTATGATTTTCTGGTTCGTGTATCATCATGTATCCTTTTGCACAACAAAAACAAAAACTGCAGATGTAATCAAGACTGCATCCCTGCCATGGGGACTGGCGCACAAATTGGATGGTGCAGGTTGGACCCTGGTCATGGTGATTGCAAATGCAGACTGCATGGTGCAGCAGTTTTTCATGGCTTGAATTAAGCATGTTTGACGACCGTAATGATAGATTCTCGGTTACTCCGACTCCGACACATAGCCCAACAAACTGCGTTGAGCATGCCAGATATTGGAAGACATCGACATGACACCCTCAGCGAATGGTCAAATGTTCAAGCACCGCATCGTCGCTTCTTTCCGATGCAACCCAAGGTGAAGCTACTTTAGTGGACCTGGCATGTCTTGAAAACGAGGCTTTGGATGGCTTTGGATGGCTTTGGCAGCATTGAAAGCTCTGTATCCAAAGACCCTTCTCTCCAGATTAATCTGCAAAACAACATGTTCAAGATGAAGCCAGAACATTGCCGCATGGCCTTGCTTCAAAAAATCCACAAAGCAATGGCAGCCATTGTATCGTGATTCCACTGGAAAGCTGCGTGGTGACATTTGGTGACCATGTTGGTTGGGGATTTGCCACCGCAGAGCCTGGCTCAAGCTTAGCCCTAGAACCCCCTGCACCGGGGCAGAGCACGGCACGGGCATGGACTTACGCGTGCCGTTTAGTCGCAGGTAGAATAGGTACAGTAGACAGAAGGGGTTCAAACGAAAGAGTCGACAGGGTTTGATTTGGGAGCATGTTTTGCATGTTGCTTGTGCATCTCTGAGACAGGCTTACATTGGCTTACATACAAATTCGAGGTGGCCTACAGGTGTCGCATCTCATTTGATAGCTGCACATTGGACATGCCTGTGAGATCATAGTGTCCACCCAACGCAGCATACCGCAGCGAGAGCCAAGGATTTTGATTTTACTATCAGGACTTTGCTGTTCAACTCACGAGATATTCGAGGCTCGAAGTAGTGTAGTTCAGTACATAATTCATACGCTATGGGCAGACCAACATTATCCTTTAATCACTCAATGACTGTGGTGACATGCTCAATATGAGAAGCATTGAACAACGACATGTCTACAGTTTTCGAATGTTTTCGAGATCTTGGCCCAAAATTCCCAATGCGTTCAAGTAACGGCGCATGCTCCTGTGGACTGCTGTATTTATAGAGAATTTATAGACAGGATTTGCCTGATGCATTCCTCTGATTTACATTCAATCACCAACTGGACAAAACCATAGCATCTCAGATGTTTTGAGAAACAATGAGAAACATGACCTGGATTGACTTGGTTGTTCTGCTTGGTTCTAAGATCTGCTTGGTATCCAAACACCAGACCCTACCTGTTGCAGGTGAGCCACAGCTACAGCACAAGGCCCGACAGTTGTGGTTTCTTCAGTGTGTCACTGCTTCGCACATCGCAGCGGTTGGATGATATATTATTAATATAAAAAAATATAAACCACGGCAGTTGGGCCATTTCCATCGATTTACCACGGGTCGTGTCATCTACCATATTTTACCAACAGGAATTGCTCCAGTCCTCGTTGCTCAGGGAGTCGCAAGTGGTTTGGACACCCCACCGAGCCAGAAAGGCCCAGGGATCCGGGATCACACATCATTGACAGGTGGCTACACGGCATGCGTCCTGGAATCCTAGAGGCATTCCTTGAATTCGACTCCGTTGGTTCTTGTGGACTGTCGTGGCCATAGGCCTGTGCCCAGACAACAGTGAGAAGACCTTCCAAATTGGGTCCTTATGTTTTGAGATGTTTTGAGGCTGTTGAACACTGAATTCACAAATATATTATGTTTTCTATGTTTTTGCTTTTTGCACGTGTTACATGCCAAATTATGGTAAATTATGCACATGTGCATGGATTCCTAGTGATCTGTGGCTGCAGGGACGACACCCATCGAGTATTCTGGAGAAAGAGAAGGACGACTGTTACACTGTTGGCGTTTGCTGATGAAGGGTAGTCTTGTTAAGGGTTGTCAATGGTTGTTGTCTTGTTGAAGCAGTTGTTGGTCAGCGAAGTGAATGTGGAGGCGCCCATCACTTTAGGACCATGTGACGTCAGAACAAATGGCTACAGCGGCTACAGTTATTTCACAGCCACTTGAGCACACTCAACCACTGTCAGCTGGAGGAAGCCCAGCTACGGATTCTTCATATCACAGTTGCTTGGACCAACAAATTAGCATTCAGACTCTTCAGCATATTTCGGCATGGCAGCCGCTATGTGTCATGTTGGGCGACACAATAGACTTATGTAAAAAGTAGTAGCGCAGCAAAATCATGTGGGCGAAGTCGATGCCTCCTTTGTGAATAGGCACAGTGCTTCTCCACTCTTTATGTCTGAGAGTCTTGAGGAGGCACAGAGTATCAGAACTTTGATTCGAAGCGTATTATCTATTCTGTCAACCTGACTTGGAGCAACAAAAACCACGGGTGAACTATGTGGGCAGGCAGTTTGGCTGCTTTTGAGTCATATCAATAAGCATACTTTGTGTTTGAATGTAATTCTCTAGTGGGGCCAACTATGTTTTGTCCAAAGAGGCTGAGTCTGTATGGCTACGCGTTGAAGCTTGTGCGGCTTGTGCTAGGACAAGCACGGGCCCCGGGTTGCTCAGGACAGTCATGTTTCACACTCCGATGAAGATCCACCTCATACGCATAGAATGTTCTCTGCCTTGAAGAATGTGAAGGACCGAATTTCTGAGTGTGCTGCGTCCGATTAGGAGGTCTACCTTTGCGAGAAACTACAATACAATGCTCCTAATCTTCAACGATTCATTTTGCCAGAATACATTCTTCGCTTTTCTTCACTGTGGGAGGCATCAGTTGCAGCATAGATTTGGTATTTCTCACAGTCGGACAGATCAACCGTCGCCTTCAGGGTCTCCAGGCAGCTCACACACATCCCACAACTGGATGGGTGAAAACACAGAACCCCCAATTCCACCCAGACTATTCAGCCGGAAAATCAGATAGGTCAATAG